GGGGCAGTCAGAGGGAGGGGGGGCGGCGACAGGGCAGTCAGAGAGACGGAGACTAGTCCCCCCGGAGCGGACTGTCACAGGACAGAAATTGTAAATAAAGTCAGAGGACAACAACAACAGAGTCAGACACACAAAGGGGGATGGGAGATCTCTAGACCTGGGTCAGACAGGAACCATGGAAAAGGTTGGAAGCCCCGACATGTTGTTTTTTTTGCTGTCTGCACCTTTCTGCTCCTGGTGTTTTGGGTTAGAACCTCAGTCTAGTGTGTACTGACCCCAAACCCCCCCCAAAAAAATTAATTTAGTCTTAAGTTTGTCTTTAACTTAGTGACAGAGCTGGCCACTGACACCAGTCAGCCATATTCCTCAGCACCAAACCTTCCAGGGAGGGATACCCCAGCCCCGAACCTTCCAGGGAGGCATACCCCAGCCCCGAACCTTCCAGGGAGGGATACAACCCTCCCCCCTATACTGTGGCCTTGTCTCTGGAAGTCAGGTCCCGCTGTCAACTATCTGCTACTCGAGTTACTATAAGGGGGCTGGTCAGGTGATCTTGCACGACTCCTCCAGGACCCCCACAATGCATGGTATGAGCCTCCTCCTTTCCCCCACACGTACCTGAGCGGTGTCAGGAGAGGTGGCTCAGGCGCTGCGCTGGGGGACTTCTTGCTCCATTCCCCGCTCCCGACTGTCAAGGCTGCGGCTGTTTACTGATCAGCTGAGCGACAAGACAGCAGTGACGTCACCGCGACCCCTAACCCCGCAGCTCTGTGTGTATGTGAGAGCGAGGGGGCGGGGACACACCATAGAGTGCTGGTTGCTGAGAGAGATGGGACGGGAGAGACCATAGAGAGGGGAGGTACGGCTAGACAGGACAGAGCGGCTGGAATGTTGGTGACAAGTCCCACCCTATAATTGCTAGTGTTGTTGTTATTATTGTATAAAAATAATAATAACAACATCACATAGTATATCATGACTATTAAAATACAATAGTAATGTTAAAGTAGATGAGAGCACAGTTACTAAAGCTGTTACATGTTAATGTCATTTCAGAAGTTTTCAATCTTTCCTAATTTTATGTAAGCTTTTTCTTTTTTTTTGTTTAGTGAATAAAAATCCACTTTACAGCCCCCTTGGCTGAACCTGTCATTCGGCCCTAAATAACCAAAGTTTTACATTTCTTTCTACTTTATGTATGAAATAAGCAGCAATGTGCAGCAGTAAGTTTATTGCATGGTAATTTTGTGGGTTTTATTCAGGTATAGACAGTTGTCATAATATACGTGACTAGCTATTGGTTGGCTTCTACAAAATGGCTTCCTTGTAGAGGACACAACTTTCCGCCGACGTATACACCTAATCACGCCACTGACGTCTCCTCCAGGCAGTTTCTGAAGCTCCGCCCAGCAACAACTGCCGGGACCCGGATGTAAAAAAAACCCCATAGCGCAATCATAACTGCGAGCTGGGGGTGAGAAGGAATGACGTCACAGCCTGGATTATTCCATTACTCGTTCTTTGACACAGGGGTTACCCTCTGCTCGGTTGTCATTTTTTTCATCGATAACTAAACAAAAACTCCTTCCGGAAATCATTTACGATGGTTATGTTTGGACTAAGCATTGATTCACCGGAGATATGTTTGTGAAGGGATATATTTCTTCAGGACTTGTTGATTCATGTGAGGTTCGCCCCCTATGACCCGTAATGGTGTGGTCCCGGTAAAACAGGTCAATGTTGAGCTCCGTTAAAAACAAAAACAAGCGGCGGCGATAGAGTACCGGAGACGGGGGAGGGGAGACGTCTAAGGTGTTGTTCTTGTCCGGGTTGTGTTGGCGGGGCTCGGGACGCTCGTGTGTGAGGAAGAGGAGGCCGTCGCCGCCGCTCCCTCCTCCGGGGATATGGAGCAATGTGTGACGGTGGAGCGGGAGCTGGACAAGGTGCTGCAGAAGTTCTCCGGCTATGGACAGCATTGCGAGCGCAGCCTGGAGGAGCTCATCGATTACGCGGGCGGCCTCCGGAGGGAGATCATGCAGGCCTCCGGTAAGAGGAAGGCCGGAAAAGGAGGGGGTTGCTGGGTGACACTGACACTT